AAAAAAAAAAGTTTATTCATTTGGGGTACCTGAGTGGCTAAGTCGGTTGAGCATCTGACTCTTGGTTTCAGCTCAGGTCATGATCTCACAGTTCGTGGGTTTGAGCCCCACGTCAGGTTCTGTGCTGACAGTGCGGAGCCTGCTTTGGGACTCTCTCTCTCCCTCTCTCTCTGCCCCTCCCCCCCACTCTCTTTCAAAGTAAATAAACTTTAAAAAATACTATTATTAAAAAATAAAAGTGTATTCATTTATTTAGAGAGAGGGCACGTGTGCAAGTAGGGGAGGGGGAGAGAGAGAATCCCAAGTAGGCTTTTTGCTGTCAACGAGGCGCCCAACACGGGGCTCAAATTCTTGAAACGCGAGATCATGACCTAAGCCAAAGTCAGACGCTCAACTGGCTGAGCCACCCAGGCGCCCTAGAGATGCACATTTTGAGAATAAAACTATAAAGAGACACACAGAAGTCATTACTATAAAAGGACAGCAGCTACTTTTTGTGGGGAGGAAGGGGGTCGCCACGAGGTGACACTCAGAGGGGTGTCGGATGGCTGGCGGTAGTTAGAAGGATGTCACCATATCTTTTTAAGCTACACATTTGTGTATCTTGTTTTATTATCAAAAAAGAAAACATTAATAAGGAAGGTCCATTTTTGGGGCAGGGGGGAACTGTGGAATTGAGCCAAACGTTAATGGCATTTAGTGCCACCATTCATCCACTGGGAGGTCATGGCTAGGTGATACCTGACATCCCTTAGCTTAACGTCAGGCTAAGAGAATGAGAGAAAACCACGTGGAGAAAGATGTACACGTCAGTAAGTTACTTGCCCGTTTACCCCATTAACTTAATAGACTGTATGTTGCCAGATATCCTCTCTGATGTCAAAATACACACAATGGGGGCACCTGGCTGGCTCAGTCAGTAGAGCACGCAATGCTTGATCTACAGGGTTGTGAATTCGAGCTCCACGTGGGGTTTAGAGCTTAAAAAGAAAAAAAAAAAAAAAATACACCCGACATTCCCTAGGAGTTGACTTCTAAGTAGATTTACGAAATGAAGGCCCAGAACCTGGTTTGCGAATTTGTGCAACACCGATCACTCAAGCTGCATTTGACCCTACAACTGTTTGGGGTTTTTAGGCATGAGTAGTAGCTTGGCTTGTCCGAGCACATCTGGAGTTCACGTGTAACACAAGTAGGGGGAAGAAGCCATGAGGCGAGAAGGCCCATGTCGCGGTCTGCAGTCAAAACCAGACCATTCCGCAGGCACAGACAGCACGCCTAGTGCACGGATCCAAATAAATTTACCTTTAAGGCAGCCAGGTGGGGCTCTTCTCACCTTGGAGTGACCTGCTTTGGAAGTTCAAGCGGCATCCAGGGCCCTTCCCCGTTCAGAAGGCGGCCAGGTACCTGCAATGGCACACGACAAGCCGGTAATGGTGGGAAGGGAAATGGGGAGCCGTAGACAGGAGAGACAGAGGCTTCAGTCTGTCTCCTTTCTTGTACCTTCCAGGACTTGCCGTCACATGCACAAGAGAGGTAGATAAGCCCGCTCCCTAGAACCTGTTCTTGGCGGCCTTTAGAACGGACATGGCTGGGACCTTGCCTTATGCCTGCAAAACTGCCCCCGTCCCTCATTTGTCTGTCTCCCCTCACCCCAGTGAATCCTCATTACACGGGATTAGTGCCTACGGAACGTAGTAAAAATTACCGCAAAATTCCTTCGGAAGGCACTGCTGGAGACCACCAGATTCTCAACACATCCGGTGCGACCTGGTTTTCCCCAGCACAGAGCAGGCCATTCTTCGGCGAGCACCAGAGCGAGCTAGCTTGCGTTTAGCGGCTGCATTATATGAAAACCAGATTCCTTTTTTTTTTTTAAGGTTTTATTTTTTTGAGAGAGACAGGGTGTGAGCAAGGGAGGGGCAGAGAGACAGGGAGACACAGAATGCGAAGCAGGCTCCTCCAGGCTCTGAGCTGTCAGCACAGAGCCCGACGTGGGGCTCAAACTCAAAGAGATCATGACCTGAGCTGAAGCTGGATGCTCAACCGACTGAGCCACCCAGGAAACAGAAAACAGATTCCTTTATTTAGCACCCCGGAAATGCTCACAGGATCATCAGAGAATGGCCTCATCGCGAGCGAGGCAGTGGGCAGAGTCAGTAACACCGGTTCCACTGATGTCTTGTGTTCATCCCCGGCATGCGTTTAACTCAGCTGCAGTGAAGATGCGCTGTGATGCTACTTTTGACCCCTACCTTCTGACTTAAGCAAACACATTCCTTCCTCGGCCCGTGGTGTTAACAGCATCGTCACACAAAATGTTTCTGGGCCAAGTGGAAAAACACCGTGACAGGTATCTGCCACTCTCACTGAGATGTTTTTTAAGATAGCACTTAAGAATTCAAGGAACCCACACCTTCACACAAATTGTTAATGAAAATAAGCTTTATTACATCAAGTAATAAATACATACAAAGATGCAAACAGTTTTAATCATTTTCTTCCAGATGTTTGGATCAACTTACACGAAAGGCAGAACTGAAATCCACACACAGTCTTAGTAGGAATATTTTCGGGGGTTCTTGTTAGGTTTGGTAGGTTGCTCTTTCTTCTGTATTTATAACTTGTGCATTTTTAAATTTGACCTCAAAGCACTAATAGTCATGCAGGCAAATGCTTAAGCACAAAAGAAGTTACATTAAGCAGAATCCACACCGTGTGGCAAACGTATGCACTAGAAACAAAACCCTGGAGTTGTTGTATTAGCTTATGAAAAGGAACGAAGAACAATCTGGGTAACATAACGGTATTCAAAAGGGAAGATAAAAGGGAGACACTGGTATCTTTGCTGTGAGATAGGTATCTTTTCCGTGCATCTTCTAAATCAATGCTTAAAAAAAAAAGAAAAAAAAAACCTGGGTAATTCCTAACTATTTAAAATGTAAATCCTAATCAACGGCAAAATATTTCTCAATCTTAGAGCCTCATAAACCATGGCAGGGACACGGGAAGGAGAAACTGAACTGTTACCATTTTGAAAACAAGAGTTTCATCTGAACGTGGGAGTTGAGCTATAACTTCTCTTCTTGGAAGAAGACGGAAAACCTTCCACGCAAACAGGCAGCTAGGATCTGGCATTCCGCTCCGTTTCAGCCAAGCACTCTCGAACCAGTCCTCTGGCATGAATGATGCCTGGGAGAGAAGCAGAGGCTGAGAATCATGCGGCAGGACCCATTCCAGAAGAGAGGGCCCTTCACAACCCAGCTGAAACACCCTCACCCTGGAAGGGAACTGGGGCCCTGCATCCAAGCCACCCCAGGATTCCCGCGGTTTGGAAAGGCGCTAGCATCCCATCCCCTCCTGGAAGGCCTTCTCTCCTGGCCAAACTCCTCTTCCTGGCTCCCTGACAATCCCTTCCTGCACACAAGGGGGCAACCAGCAAGCTCTCTTCATGTCATACCGTCAGATGACTGGAGTAAACGTGTCCCCCGCTTTCACTAAACCTGACCCACTTTGGAGAGTCTGTGACTTCAAATCCTTATTTTTCTCTGGCTTCTTCACATTCTAAACTCTAGAAGGGACTTGTCCAATGTCCAGCCTGCACAGTTAGAACGCAAGACTGCTCATTTTTGTTCAACCTTGGTCCACCGTGACGTCCGCCCGCCGGGGTGCCTAGTGCGCATCTTCTGCCCTATTACGCCCCTGTGCATCTCCTCTCTCTCTG